GTATATTTAATATAGAATATTGAAGTGGGGGGGAGCGGGGGAGTGTCCTTTCTGTCTGCCTCGCTTCTCTAGAGCCGTGAGAGAAAAAGCCTGGCATACGGCGGCGGCGGCGGCGGTGGTGGTGGTGGTGAGGGGGAGGAGGACGAGGACGTCATGGCTCAGGGGAGGCATGGGCCTGCTCCTTTGGAAGAAGGGGTGGGTGGGAGAGACGCTGAAGGAACAACCAGCCTTGAGAATCCCTTCTGAGGGAAAAGAAGACGACGACGAAGAAAGTTGAAGGCGAGGCTTTTTTTTCTGTGGGAAACCCCGTTGCCAATGGCGGCAGCGACGACATCGGCAAGGCTCCTTCCTTCCCGTGTTAAAAGGGCAACAACTTGTAATGGGGACGAGCCGGGAAAGAGCGCAGATGTCGCGGGAGAAGGCCGGTCCGGTCCGCTCCGCTCCGCTCCGCTCCGCTCGAGTTGAAGCGGGCATTCGGGCGAAGGGAAGGGGGGTTTTGATTGATTTGGGTTTTAGGAGCCTGGTGATGGGAAGAGATTGAACCGTTGAGGTTTTAAAGGGATGGTATGGTGGGAAAAGGCCTGGTCTGGGTTTGTGTTTTTGTTTCTGGAGAAAGGGGTGGGTGGCCTGGAATATCATCATTTGCAGCAAAGGCAGCAAGTTAAGTTTGAGGTGCCTAACGTGTTAGTTGTGCTTGCAGCTGGGGGTGGGTGTTAAGTAGTATTTTTGGAGAATGGCCTCAGGTGGCCTCCAGGTTGCCAGTTTTGGGGTGAGAGTCTGGGAATTCTCTTTATGTTAGTGCTTTTATGGAAAGGCCCTTGAGTCTGGGGCACAGACTATTCCGGTTCCTGCAGATATCGGAAGTGTGACCTGGATATTTGTGGGCATCCCTAGGGCAGGACCTTGAGTTCAATTTTGTGAACAGGAGTAGGATTTCTTCCTTTCTGGGTGATGATAGAATGTGATCCAGACATGCACACACTTAGGAATCCCTGCTTCCTTTTTTAAAACCCTGCCTGGTGACACAGCTTGTGGAAAGAATGGTTTGTAAATTTGTTAGGTCCTACTGTGGGATGTAAACATACACTGCTGTCTTGAATTTGACAATTTTTAAATGAAAAAACCCTTTGTTTTAACACATGAGACAGGACCTGAGAATTCATATTGCCAACAGAGATTATAATTTTTCATGGTATATTCTGGAATTCTTATGCCAAGTTTGAGACTATCATAAATTGCATAGTTAGTGAGGAAGGTAGTTTCTAATATTGACAATTAATTCTCTTTGCAGATTTAACATGTGAGTATGTGAAATAATCTATTCACATTGGTCTTTTCTGATGGTTGTCTCTTATATATTTGAAAAGTTGGAAGGATTAACATCTTTGTTAATATCATAAGAGGAAACTAGGTGCGCTGTGAGCAGATTATGGTGTGTCATCAAAGAGAACTTTTATGGAGATGGGATATAAGTATGAGGAATCCTCAGTGAGTGGCTGTGGGGTAACTGAGAACTGTCTTTTCTTTAAATGTGTGTGAACTGACATGTAGATAGGTTTCTGCTGTTCCCTCCCCCATCCTTGCAGGAAGTGGCAGGGAAATGGCAGCTGTGTTTGTTCCTTTTTTAAATGTCCTTTTAAAATCAGGTATGTGTTTAGGTTTTGGGTGTCCCCAGGCTCTTGTCTAGAGCACCACTGGTCCCCAGCAGCCAGTTGGCTCAAAGTCTTGTAGTTTGGGATTATCACCTTTTAAAAAATGGTTGTAGAGAGTTAAGAGATATGTCCTAAAGTGTAGCTTGTATTTTTGTACTTGCTCAAGGGGCATAACCCTTGAAAACATTCTCTCTCAAACATCCTTTTGATACCCCTTTGATACAGTCTACTCCAAATTAAATAGGGATAATATTTTTGTTGTTGTTTGAACATGTATTTGTTCATGGACCCTTGGTTGGTTACATTCATAAAGCTTTCTTTTGTTTAGGAGGAATTTAAGTGAGTCATTATGCTACAGAAGCAAAAACAACCCTGAGTGTACTAATAGGGATATTTTGCCTGTGAATGGCAAGTTCCAGGAAGAAGCTAATTTTGTTATTTGTTTATTGCACATTAAATTAAGCAAGTCTGTGTTTTAGACTCTAAAGCAGACTTTGTCCCCTTTACTCCTCTGGGGTTTCTCTGGTGAACCCTAGGTGGAGCCAGCTTTCTTTCTGTGGAAGCACTCTCATCCAGTCACTGCCTTAGGAAAGATGGACTGAATGATGTCACAGGCTAGAGTTTTATGATAGAGGAGCAGCTTCAGAGGAAGCTCACCTCTGATTTAATCTTTCCCCCTTGAAGTGTCACAGAAGAGTCTGGTCCTGTCTAAATTCCCCACCCCTGCTTCAAAGTTTATTCCCTATTCTTAGAAGGTTGGAATTCAGTCCTTACCAGTTGAGAATAGGTGTTCATTAAAAGATTCTGCATTGTTTTTGTGATCTACTGTGATTTCTCTCTTTTCTGTATCTTATTATTGGTGAATAAGCTGACTGGATAGGTCATTGAGTTAGGTATTTGGTTATGGAGCTTGAAGTTGAGGATTCGATTTACCACCGTGCATCCCAGAAGAGCCAGCCTGTGTAGCTCTGGGCAAGCTGCACAGTCCCAGGCTGCCCCCAGAAGATGCTAAAGGGCGTATACATTTTTGCTAGGGCAGGAAAGAAGAGAACATCTTGGAAAATTCTGGAGATAAGACTTTCTGAGCAGAACTTAGCACACTAACTCAAATGAATTCAGACTGCTTAGGACAGAACATTTTCAGCTTTTAACCGAAGTATATTATTACTGTGGGAAAACATGTACCAAACTCTGTAGCCCATTTCCTAAGTGGTAGTTAAGAATAAGCAATATCATGACAAAATAAGTCTGTGATCCAGATAAAGCACTTGTAAATGCCACTGCCCTGGGCTTTGGGAGATTTAAACTGAACCTACATTAGATGCCATATGGAACATTCTAGTTGTGTTACCTTTGTAACTTTTCAGCCTCTATAGTCCATTCTTCTGTCTTCCCCATACATGTTAAACATCTGCTTCTATTTGGCTTGTTAGAGAGACATAGGCCTGAAATACAACTTCTGGTTGTATCAGCTGTTCAGTATTATCTCTGCATGTGTGGTTTCTGTCAAACCACACCCTCCCCTTTAAACTCTTTCTGTGTTGGCTGCAATTAATTCATCCATTTTGCTTGGCTTCTTTCCTAGGAAGCCATTCTGCCTTCCCCTTTAATTACAGTCCCTTCCCAGCACCTCCCTTTACCTCAGCTTCATCCCAGCCTGTCCCTATGCTGGAAAAGCAGCTGCTACTCTGGATCTTAAAGAGATATTCACAGCAATGTCATGTTTGTATCAACTGCTAGTGCTGTTAGAGTAGGATCCATTGCTTTTTGAAGGAGAAACAGCAAGTGACATAGGGTGGCCTTACTACAATTATGAATGATTCCTGAGAGTGAATATGGTGCTACCGGAAGGGCACTAGCTCTTGCTATTAGCAGCAGCCTTTTTCCTCTGCAGTAACAGAAGCCTCCCACCTTAAGTGGTGAAGCTTGGCATGACATTGCAGTAATATAGGTGTGTTTGTGGAGGGGCGGGGAGAGGGGAGGAAGGGAAACAAGCTTCCTGATGCAAGAAATATTGACCCAATGAAGCAGAAACTGTGGCTGAGGTACTTATTTCACTGATAGTATATTTGTTTGGGATGCAAATGTTTGATCCTGACAGTAATACTTAGCTAAGAAATGGACAAGGGAGATTGTGTCTGTGATCTAAGCTTACCTCAAAAGTTGATTTTAGATGGGGGAGAAGAATCCTAAAAATGTTTGGCATTCTGTCCCCCACCCCACAAGATGGGGGAGAGGAAAATTGTAGCTTTCCAAATATTTTTGAATGTCAGCTGCCATCAACCCTAGCCAAAGACTATGGATTATTTAAGCTATGGTCCAACAACACTGGCTGAATAGCTGAATATGTTACCAACTGCAGATTCTGCACAGTGCCTTGGTGAATCTCTTTAGCCTTGGTCAAGCTGCACAGTCTTGGAATTATATCAAAAGAAAGGAACGATAAGCCATTGCTTAGGTTTATATATAGAAAACCCTGGAAAGGGTTTCCAGAATAATAATAATAATAATAATAATAATAATAATAATAATAATAATAATAATAATAAGAAGAAGAAGAAGAAGAAGAAGAAGAAGAAGAAG